AAGCCCCTGGTGGGCTGGGCCGGTTTGTTTACCTGCCGTGTCCACAGGTTTGGCCAATCGCAGCTCCCACTGGCCGCAGTTTGCCGCTCCAGGCCAATGGGGACTGCAGGAAGCGGCAGCCTGTACATTCCTCGGCCCACGCCGCTTCCTTCAACCCCCATTGGCCTGCAGCGGTGAACTGCAGCTAGTGGGAGCTGCGATCGGCCGAACCTGCAGATGTTGCAGGTAAACAAACCGGCTCGGCCTGCCAGGGGCTTTCCCTGAACAAGCGGCGTTCCAAGTTTGGGAAACACTGCTCTAATCCTTTGTTCAGCTCCTAATGTCTCATGATGCATTTTCAGTGAGGAGCTACTAAGGCTACCCTATAGCTTATGTCGGCAGAACTTACGTCACTTGGGAGTGTGAATAAACGACCCCCCTGAGTGACATGAATTACACCAACGTAAGTGCTGGTGTTGGCACTCCGGCCATCATAGCTTCTCTCGCTTGTAGTGGTGGTTTTATTATGCCGACAAGAGAGCGCTCTTTTGTTGGTACAGAGTGTCTTCACTAAATGTATGTGTAGACGTGCCCGAAGAAACATCGGATTACATAACTCATATTGGGCCATATGAGTTAACTCTGGTGAGTGCACGAGTGAAGGGAGCTTTCAGGGAGACAGTTATGGATTCCTGATTCTCTGCCTAGCATAGGTTAGTGCAGCGAAATATAGAGGTAGATTGAAAGATTTCAAGGCTGCAAGGGACCATTGTGATCATGTTGTCTGATGACTTGTTACTTTCCATTTCCCCATCGAACTTCCTCAAAATAATTCCAAGAGCATACCTTTTAGAAAAACTTCCAATCTTAATGTAAATATTGTCAGTGAGGGAGAATCCACCATGACCTTTGGTAAATTCTTCCAGTGGTTAATTAGCCTCAGAGTTAAAAATGTGTTCCTAATTTCCAGTCTGAATTTGTCTAGCGTCAACTTCAAGCCACTGGATTGTGTTAAATGTTCTCTGCTAAACAGAAGAGGGCATTATCAAATATTTGTTCTCCATGTAGGTACTAATAGATTGTAACTTTTTATTTCAACTTTTTTTTGTTAATCTAACTAGATTGAGCTCCTTCAGTTTATCACTATATGGCATGTTTTCTAATCCTTTAATCATTCTCTGAACCTCCTCTAATTTAGCACATCCTTCTAGACTTGTGGACACCAGAACTGAACCCAGCATTTTAGCAGCCGTCATACCAGTGCCAAAAATGGAGTGACAATAACTTCTCTACTCCTATTCATGATTTCCGTGTTTGCGCATCCAAAGACGGCATTAGCCCTTTTGGCCACAGCGCCTCTCTAGGAGCTCATGTTCAGCTGGTTATCTTTCATAAAGAAAAGGAGGACTTGTGGCACCTTAGAGACCAACAAATTTATTTGAGCATAAGGTTTCGTGAGCTACAGCTCACTTCATCGGATGCATGAAGTGGAAAATACAGTAGGGAAATTTTATATACACAGAGAACATGAAACAATGGATGTTACCATACACACTTTAACAAGAGTGATCAGATAAGGTGAGCTATTACCAGCAGGACAGAAAAAAAAAACCTTTTGTAGTGATAATCAAGGTGGGCCATTTCCAGCAGTTGACAAGAACGTCTGAGGAACAGTATGGCGGGAAAATAAACATGGGGAAATAGTTTTACTTTGTGTAATGACACATCCACTCCCAGTCTTTATTCCAGTCTAAATTAATGGTGTCCAGTTTGCAAATTAATTCCAATTCAGCAGTCTCTCATTGGAGTCTGTTTTTGAAGTTCTTTTGTTGAAGAATTGCCACTTTTAGGTCTGTAATCGAGTGACCAAAGAGACTGAAGTGTTCTCCGACTGGTTTTTGAATGTTATAATTCTTGACGTCTGATTTGTGTCCATTTATTCTTTTACGTAGAGACTGTCCAGTTTGGCCAATGTACATGGCAGAGGGGCATTGCTGGCACATGATGGCATATATCACATTGGTAGATGTGCAGGTGAATGAGCCTCTGATAGTGTGGCTGATGTGATTAGGCCCTATGATGGTGTCCCCTGAATAAATATGTGGACAGAGTTGGCAACGGGCTTTGTTGCAAGGATAGGTTCCTGGGTTAGTGGTTCTGTTGTGTGGTGTGTGGTTGCTGGGGAGTATATGCTTCAGGTTGGGGGCTGTCTGTAAGCAAGGACTGGCCTCTCTCCCAAGATCTGTGAGAGTGATGGGTCGTCCTTCACTTTAGATCCTTGATGATGCGTTGGAGAGGTTTTAGTTGGGGGCTGAAGGTGACGGCTAGTGGCGTTCTGTTATTTTCTTTTTTGGGCCTGTCCTGTAGTAGGTACTACTTCTGGCTCTGTCAATCTGTTTCGTCACTTCAGCAGGTGGGTACTGTAGTTGTAAGAATGCTTGATAGAGATTTTGTAGGTGTTTGTCTCTGTCTGAGGGGTTGGAACAAATACACACTGTAATGAGAGTGATCAGGTAAGGTGAGCTGTTACGAGCAGGAGAGAAAAAAAAACACCTTGATAATCTTGATAAGCTTATCAAGGTGTTTTTTTTTCTCCCCTGCTGGTAATAGCTCACCTTACCTGATCACTCTCATTACAGTGTGTATGGTAACACCCATTGTTTCATGTTCTCTGTGTATATAAAATCTCCCCACTATATTTTCCACTGCATGCATCCAATGAAGTGAGCTGTAACTCACGAAAGCTTATGCTCAAATAAATTTATTGTCTCTAAGGTGCCACAAGTACTCCTTTTCTTTTTGCGGATACAAACTAACATGGCTGCTACTCTGAAACCTGGTTATCTACCATGACCCCCAAATCTTTTTCAGAGTAAGTGCTTCCCAGGGTAGCAGCCCTCATCCTGTAAGTGGAGCCCACTTCTTTGTACCTAGATGTATAGATTTACATTTAGCCATATTAAAATGCATATTGTTTGGTTGGCCCAGCTTTCTAAGTGACACAGAGTTCTTCATTATTTACCACTTCCCCAATTTTTGTGTCATGTGCAGACTTTATAAGTGATGATTCTGTGGTTTCTTCCAGGTTATTTATAAAAATGTTAAATAGTGAGGGGCCAAGAATTGATCCCTGCTAGACCCCATTAACGAAACAGTCCCTTGATGATGACCTTCCATTTACGATTACATTTTGAGACCTATCAGTTAGCCAGCTTTTAATCCACTTAATATATGCCATATTGATTTTATATCATTCTATCTTTTAAAACAAAAGTTCCCCAAGGGACCATTCCCCAGCTCGGTTTTTTTTTTAACTGCATCAGTCTCTAATCTCTCCCCATTCTCGCCCTAACCTGTCCCCAGTATACCCCATTTGTGGGGAGGGAGGTGTAAGAACTGGTTCCATTGGCTCTACACCTGCTGAAGATTTTCCCACACTGCAGAATCCCCATCAAGGTGGTTACAGATTTCTGAACAAAGGGAGTAGGGTGAGACTCAGAATCTGACAACTTTGTCTGTGACAGTAATCATACAAAGGATCATATCCTGCAATACAAACATACTGTTTTGTACTGCACTGCTGGGAGGTGTGCCTTATAAACAACCTTTGTCTTGTGTGTTTCATGCATAGTCATTTATTTCTTTGAAATGCAAATGGTCTCCCGATATGGATCTACAAGGTTGCTGAATAACTTAATTTAATCTCACCAATATTTTTTTTTAAAATCATGTCATAATAACATACAGATAATAACAATAACATAATAAGTCCTTGATGCTTACGTAGCCATTTATAAATGTTCAGCAGTTAATGCCCAAAATTCCCCTGTGAGAGAAGGACACAAATATTACTATATTCATTGTACAGAGTGGAAACTGAGAATGACAGAAGTTCAATGAATCCCCAAGACCACCCAATGAATCAGTGACAGACTTGAGATTAGACTTCAGGCGCTCTAGTCTCCCAGCCCCATGCTCAATCTACTAGAGCAGGGGTCAGCAACCTATGGCACGCGTGCCAAAGGCAGCACATGAGATGATTTTGAGTGGCACTCACACTGCCTGGTCCCGGCCACCGGTCCTGGGGGCTGTGCTGCCGGCCTGGGGTCCTACTGCCAGCCCCCTGCCACCTGGGGTCCCGTCTGCCAGCCCCCACTCAGCCCGCTGCTGGCCCCAGGTCCCAGCCACAAGTTCCGGGAGCTCTGCTGCCATCCTGGGGTCCCGGCCGCTGGCCTGGGGCTCTGAAGCCACCCCTAGCTGAGGCCCATTGGCCCCAGCCTGGGGCAGTGAAGGGTGCAGACAGGGGCAAGAGAGGGCACAGCTCAGCACCCCCACCTTAAAAATTGTTCCAATGCCACTGTACTGGGATATTTTTAAGTCTTGATTTGTTGCTTACATTACTATCATGTCACGTGGAACAGCACATTGCGTTTGACATTCTGCTTGCTGTCTGTCATGATTTTTCCCCCCACTGTCAGTTGAGGGGTACATTTGACAAAATGTCAGCTCTTAAGAAAGCAAAGTTAGATGTCCATTCATCTCCCTTCACAGCAACATTTGGTGGCTAAGTCATGGCAAGGTTTTGGTGCACTTGGTAAACTGTTTTGATGCAATCAAGGCCTTTCTGTTGCAAAAAGGACAAAACTACCCTGAACTGGATGATGACAAATGGCTGTGTAATCTCATGTTTCATCACTGCTCACGTAAACGAACTCAACCTCCGTCTCCAGAGTGCAGGGCAAACAGTTCTAGATCTTTATGAAACCTGGACGGCATTTGTTGTAAAACCAGCAGTTTTTTCTCAGGATGTTTGAACTTCAACTTTCTGCTACTTCCAACACATAAAAGAGCTATCAACATGTTGCACTGTCAGTGTTGATGAGATTGTAATGTACATGCAACAACTGGAATCAGAATTTTCTGACAGATTTCAATATTTCCAGTGATTTGGCCCAATGCTTTCTTTTCTAATTAAACCTGAAAAGTTCAATAAAAGCGAATTGGATTTGTCTGTATTTCAGTGGATGGGTGTTGAAGATTTCGAAATGCAGCTCATTCAGTTAAAAAGCTCAGAATTGTGGGCATCAAAGTTTGGAGATCCACGGAGTGCATTTAAAGCTACGAAGAGAGATCATGGGGACTCTATTCTGACCTGATGGACATCTCTGCCAGTGAAATTTAACTGTTTGAAGAAAATTGTGTTTGCAATGCTTTCAGCATTTGGATCCGCATACCTGTGTGAACAGGTATTTTCACACATGAAATCTGTCCTCTGTCCCTCTTAGAGCCAGTTAACAACTGATCACTTAGAAGCCTGTGTCCACCTTAAACTATCCAAATACGTGCCAGACATTGGACACCGGACATTGGAAAACTCAGCAAGGAAAAGCAAGGGCATTTTAATTTAATTTTAAATGAAGCTTCTTAAACATTTTAAAAACCTTATTTACTTTACATACAACAATAGTTTAGTTATATATTATACAGAGAGACCTTCTAAAAACATGAAAATGTGTTACTGCCACGCGTAACCTTAAATTAGAGTGAATAAATGAAGACTTGGCACACCACTTCTGAAAGGTTGCCTACCCATGTACTAGACCATTCTGCTTTTCCTGTACCCTTCATTGCAGTCCAGACAAGATTTTTTTATTTGCTTAATGTTTTACTCAATACATTGTAAGAACATGACTAATAATTTATTAATCTGTGAATACTATGCAAATATGTACAGCAAGAAATTAAATCACGTATGCCATTTGACATTTTGGTTTACTTGTTAATATCAATATAAACTTGACATTAACACTAGTTTACAGAATTGTACACATTAAGAAAGCACCGATTTACATTGGTGTGTGGATAAATCAAATCATATGGCCTGAACTGAGGTTTGGAAAACATTACATGCAATCCAGAATGTGTTTGGAAACTGGAGGACTCTGTTCCAAGCACTAATTTATACCTTAGGGTAGCTTCATTTATCATAGTGATATTTAAGACAGCAGATTATTCATAATTTACTTTTTATGTTTTGAAATGATTTGACCCAGAATCATTGGAGTTTGGCACCAAACTAAACTAGAGCCAGAATATTCAAAGGGTGGTAAGAATCAATTGCCATATAAAGCCCGCAAACTCTAGGGGAAAAAACCTTACTTATTTAAGATAAGATAGCTCCTCCATGCACAATCCTAATTGCTTGCCTTTCCAAAACCACAGTGAAAACTGACAAATGCCCAAACCATGCAGCCCCCTTATCCTGCAAGTTCTGCTTTGTCTTTAATGGGATTGAGGTTGCTTGTCACTTCTAAGGAGCTACTCAGGTACAGTAAGATCAAATCCTATTGCCTTGGTGAAGAAAGAGACTCTGGAATTCAGGGAGGGAAGGGAATGAAAGGTGGCTGCCCAAAGCCAGCAGGCAGATTTACTTAGGTAACTTACTGGCATGTGCAGTGAGGGAAAAAAACCAAAATCCTTTCCTTTGAGCTACAGTAAAAGGAAATTAGCCTTAGCAGAGTTGTAGTGAGAGGTGAGTGAACCCTGAACAGAGCTTTACTGATAAATGGAGGAAATTCACATGGTTCTACAAATCAAGGATGGCATAAAATAATAGGAATCCCTTTCCAGAAGGACAAGGTAGCCCTGGCACGCTACTAACAGTAGATTAAAAAATACTAAAGCATCCACAAGTGCATGCAGAGCTCATTAAGATGGGTGTGCCATGAGGAAAGTCTCTTCCGCATCTGGTCATCTGTGTGATTGCCATCCAAAGAAAAGAGCAATGGTAAGGTAAGTTAATGATGTCCTACCATTTCACCACATGCCTTTTTGTTGGTTGTTTAATTATTTAAAATTAATTTGTTTAAAATATTGTGGAGGCAAACTCACTGGGCTGGAGTCAAGTGAAGGAACTGGAATTAATAGTGTTTTCTGAATTGTTCTGGAACAGTGAAAAATGGATGTACCATATGGAAATTGGAAAATTGGTGAGGATAAATTGTGATCTGTTGACTTTGTGCTCAAACTGCCACACAAAACAAAAGCCAATTTAAAGAAAGTTTGGTTAATGTCCCCTGAGGAAAAGGGACCCATGTGTCCATGTGTTTTACATCCATGGGGCAATATCCCGCAGTCTCTACATGATCCTTACTCTGTCAAACTTCCACTGTGTTCAGCGAAAGTGTGCTAAGTAAGGGGGTGGATGGACAAGTCATTCCTCTGGAGCCATGCATTAAGGGAACCCCCCTCATGGATTTATCCCCGGCTATGCAAGAATGGAGGTGCCTGTGTAGCACCAGCCCTCCTTTGTTAGTCTTTATGGGGGTTCCCCATGTGGAGAGGGTTGGGGAGGATGTGCATTATCCCTCCTCCCCACACATTCTCCAGGGAATCTGATCAAGAGTTAAATCAGCATGTCTCCAAAGGACCAGGAGGCACTATGGAGTAACAAGGCCTTGACAGATATTTCTGTGGTCTCTGGTGGATTCCCCCTAGGTTTGGGAACTCTTAAGCTTTGGCGGTGGCAGTAAATTATAGCTGCCAATGGAAGAATTTGTAGGAAATTCTGTGAAGGGATCCTTTCAGAATTTCCTTTCTTCTGCCCCAGGAAACTGTTCTCTCTCTTAAGATTCACTGACCCTGCTCATTACCATGGCATCTGAGTGCCTCATGATTTCTCAATGTAGGGTGGGATTATGGGATTAGTTTTCTGTGCCTGGGTGGGATCTTCACAATTTGATCAATAGTGATTATGCTATATATTTTGTTTATATGCATAAACAGATGTGTATGAAAATGGTCATTTAAATCTGAGTTTGTATTTAAGTCAACATATGATCATATTTATGTTCCATATGAGAAACCAAATGGTATTCTAGGCGTGTGATACAGAATGGTACTTCCCCTTTAATAAAGGTGTTTAGATATCACGGTGATGGAGACAGCATAAGGATGTGGGGAGATGGATAGTTACTTATACTGCATTTGTAATTAAGTTATATGTTATGTAATTAAGTTCTTAAACCTGTATTTTAAAAAAAAGTTTCCTTTTTTTACTGCCTCTGCACATTCTTATTCAAGCAAGATGCAGAAGTACTGAACAAGGGGCTGTGCTCTAGTTATTTCTAACACCAGTGAAAGCCAGAAGTGTCCCGGGAAAACCTGTTCCCATGAGATTTCCATCCCAGCTTTGTAGATTCCAACGGTTTGGATAAGCATCCAATGTGAACCTCTGCATGTTTTGAATTCCAGCCATACCTAATGTTAGTGACCTCATTTTAACACAACTTGGTTGCCATACCTCAGTGGCTATGATTAATTTGAGATTCGATGCTTCCTGGAAGGAGTTCCAATTTTAAAATTGCTTCAAAAAAGTGATCAAACTGATGGATTTGCACTGACTTGTGGCAGAAATCTTGCATTGGCTTCCAGGAGCAAAGCACACCTAACATAATGCTTGATGTGCCTTCATGTGAAGCTCCAGGCTAAGAAGGAACTGCCCTTAATTTCTTAAATGTCAACAATACATCAAAGTAGTATAAGTGCTCCATGTACTTCTTACTATACTGGATAAGAGAAATTATTCAATATAAAATGTGACCATAGGTTTTTATTTAATTATGGATTGAAATAATGTTTCTGAATCTGTCTGATAACAAAGCTACATTGGTAAAGGAAATATCATGGTAATAAGTACCACTTGATTCTGCTGCCAATGGAGAAATGAGATGAAACTGACCAGAGTCTGGGAGAAGGGGATTATGATTTGGAAATAAAAGTGAAACCAATTTGGAGACATAACATTTTTATGATACACTGATAATACTATGAATAATATTTGTTTTAAATTTTGCCAATCTCTTGTTCCCTGAGATATTTGGAACCTATTGTATTTCAGGGCCATTTGATGTTACGTGAGTTACAGCACAATTTTCTTCCTGCTGGAAATGCTTTGTGTCAGCCAGAGAAAAGGAATAACAATCCACAGGTTTATATTGTCCTGATTTAACTACTTTGGAGAGCTAGAACGTGGGATGGAAACACACAAACAAGCACAAAGCACAGTTTGCTGATTGAAAGGTTTTCTAGAGGCTACAAGTCTTTAAAAAATGATTGAGAAAAAAGAGACATGGTATATGCTCTCAAACAGACATACTATTCTGTCTGTTCCAAAAAAACTGGAGCTTAGATACATAATGTACCTTGCCTTTATTTCGTATTCAGTAACTCAGTGTTTGCACTGTTCCTTCATGAACAAACCCCCCAACACATGCTCTGTGTCCTTCCCTGTTTATATTCTCACAGCTCTCAATTAGCATTCATTAAGCTGCACACATGCGGTGGCTTTATCCTTGGCTACTTTCACGGAAGCTTTCAACCTCCTGCTAAACCTACTTTATGTCATCCCTCTCGTCCCCAAAATTAGCCTTTCAATTTGCCATGCTGTCAGTATTTACTTCTTAGCCTGCCAATAGCTTTAACACTTTTAATTGATTTACTACTGATTTTTCATTACCAGAGGAGTGATAAAAGAGCATGTGTGTGTATTGTACAAATGTGTTGTGCTACCCTTACAGTACAGCCTACAGGCACTGCAAAGTACCTCAGCGGTCTGCAGTGTGTCATGTTTGTACATTTAGTAATTAGGACAAGAATAATGGTGGTAATAAAACCTGGTGATATGACATGAAAGCATCAGTTTTTCCACCTTTCCTGGGGACTCCGCCTTGACATGGTGGGAAGCTGTGTGTTGCAATGACTCTGAGAGATATGCCAGTGAATGTTTTATCTCCTGGTAGGGTCACTCAAGCTGCAAGGTCAGAGAAAGAGAAAGAGAAAAAGAAATAGAGAAAGAGAAAAAGCAATTCACTGATCCTCCAGGTTGGAGATTGAGTGATCGGCTAACAACCTACCTTTGTCAAAAAGTTAAATTGTAGAAACACAACAAGGTGTAGCCATTTTAGCAAACAGCATGATTGACAGGCATGGCAGAGCCTTGTTCATGCCCTAAGTGACATGAGATGGCATAGGAAGGATTTAGATTCAGATTGATCAGTTTTCCAAGGTAGTTGTCAATTAGTTAGAATGTACTTATATCTTCAGTCTCAATTACACAAAATACATGGAGAAATAATTTACTGAAAAAAAAAAATTTTTTTGAAAGACACATTTATCTTTCTAACTTTCCCCCACTGGTTTTCAGATTTCACCAGAATAGAGCATTCACAAAAATAACTGTATGGTTATTAATGAAAGAGCCTGTGTTTACTGCAAGAGAGGTGAGCACACAGTTCAAACCAATGCCCCTCAGAAGGGGCAGAGAGAGATGAGAGATATAGA